GAGCGGGAGCGTGCCGGAGCGGGCCGGGCCGGGCCGAGCCGTGCCGTGCCGTGCCTTACCGAGCTGTTCCGGGCCGGGCCGTGCCCCCGCCGGCAGCGCGCGGCTCCGCGGGGCGGCTGCGCCGTCACTCAGCCCCAGTGACCCCAAGCCCCAGCGCCCGATACGGGCTCAGAGCCTCGCAATCCCCGTGCGTGCGGCTCGGGTGCTGCGGGAACGGAGGGCACAGTGCGGCCGGCCAGCTGCCGGCGGGGCGTCAGCACCGACCGTCCATGCCCCTGAGCCGTGACCGGGAAGCCGCGGGGCGAAGCACGCACAGCTGGGCACGGATTCACCCTTGTCCTGCCCCGTGCTGCGGGCGGGGCGGCTCTGGGCCGGGTCCGGCCCGGCAGGACGCGCTGGCCGTGCCCGTGGCTGTGCGGGCCCGGCCGTGCAGCGCATCCCCGGCCGCGGGCAGCTGGGCCCGCAGAGCTCGGTGCCGGCCCCGGCGCGTCCGCCTCCCCGGCTGAAAGAGCGGGCAGCTTTGTGCGGGTAACTTGATGCTGATGACAGTTGGCAGCTGCAGTTCCCCCGGCAGACCGAGGCAAATAAAAGCATTAGGGCTCGTCCCCGAGGAGAGCGACAGGTGTTCGCTCCCGCTCCTTTGTTTCGCTGCTTTTATTCTCCTCGCTAATGCATGTCATATTTTTGCCGCCCGAGGAAACGGGAGACGCGTTCCCCGCTGGAAGCGGCGCGGAGCCGCTCGCTCGCCTCCCTCCGTGTCCGGCAGAGCTCCCCCCTGCTCCGGCTCCCTCCCGGCTTGTCTCGCCACCGAAAGCCCTTCGGCCGCGGTGGTGCTGAGGTTTTCTTGCGGAGAGCTCTGGCGTGAGCCACAGCTGGGTCGGTGCCGGTCCCGTGCGGCCCAGGCTAGCGGAACGGGCTCCGGGAAGGGCCGGGCTGGCTCTTGCTGTTGTTTAATGCTGCTTTTCACCCTCTGAGGGCCGTGCAGAGCTCCGTGCCTGCGCTGTGCTAACCCATGGGCGGCAAGAGGGCAGGCTGGCATGGAGAGGTTCGGCACTGCCTGCCCCAGGCCATCACGGGCAAAGCTGGTCCGTGGGGTGTCCTGGCTGGAGACCTCAGCTCAGGCCACCCTTCGCTTCGTATCGCAGCGGACAGCAGCTGTTATTTTCAGAAAGGTGTTTCTGGTGTGTTTTTTCCTTTTATGTTGAAGCATCAGTGCTTGGGTTTTGTCAGTCTGTTCAGGTGTTGACAAGTTTCCCTGCAGCAGGCAGGAGCAGAGTGGGATGTACTGGGGGCTGGATGTCTAAATCTGTCCTTCTGCTTCTGATGCACTGAATTCTCCATGTGACACAATGTGGCAAGCAGCTCATTCTTTTCAATGATATAATTAATGCTGGCTAAGCAGAAACGCTGTGGACCAGGCCAGATACAGAACATTTTTGTATTTAAGTAGAGACAACAGTCACCATTCTGTGTGCCTGGTTGATGTGTACTTAGCCTACCTAAGTGGCACGGGAAAACCACGATTGTATGCATGCAAACTGCAGCAAAGTATTGGGTGCAATTTTGAAGGACCATCTTCATTCTGAACCAAAACTAGGCACCTAAGGTCATCAGAGGTGTATAAAAACACACAAACGCACTCACACATTTGGGAAATGTGCAGTAACACACAATGTATGCAATTCTTGGTAAAATATGAACTCCAAGCCTTTGTGAGCTTGTTTTCTCTTCAGAGAAAGCTCAGCTTTTCCTAGAATGGGGGTTGGGGGAAGTTGGTGCACCTGGTTGCTGACAAGGGTAAAACCAAATCACACAAATATTCATGTATTCGCTGCTCAAACAGTGGGGTTAACACTGCTGTAAATCGTGTGCAGTCCCCAAAGCTGCCAGGCCTCTTCACTGCAGGTGTTTGTACCAGCTGTGTGTCAGAGCTAACTTGGGTTTGAGGTGCTGCTTTGTTCATGCAGGGAAATGGGACGTGAAGGAGCTCCCAAATTCCCCCCAGCTGAGGTTCGGATGTGTCAGGACTTGGGTGGTGAAGCTCTGCTGGCTGCTGGACAGCAATGATCTCTCACAACCTCGATGTGAGTTCTTGAGCAGTGAGGAGCTGGAGGCACAAGGTGAGCACTTCAGGATGGACGAGGAGACTTGAGCAGCAAATCTTGGCTAAGAACGGCCAGAGAGAGCTGGCCATGGCTGGAACATCCTGCTTCTGTTCTGACTGGGCAGGTGCTGATGGCAAGGCATTGTACACATTGCTGGCTCTTGTTCTGCAGCATGTCTTTTTGTATTTTCTTTGAAAAGCTGCAGGTCAAATGAGTTGACAAATGCTGCAGCTGTTTGTGCAGGGCATTAAAAATGTATGTGCCATAAATATCAGGGCATCACTAGAGCTGCCATTCTGGAGGAGGAAGTCACTGCAGGCTATCTCCTCTAGCCCACAGGGACAATGTGACATTTTTGTGCTACTTTAAACAAGTTCCGTCACATCAGGTGAAGCGAATCATGGTAACCTCATGCATTTTAATGGAAATGTCAACTGCAATCTAGTAACAGAAAACATTCCTTAGATACCTTGTCCAATACCTCAGTGCTTGTCCATGCGTGGTGGTTCCTGAAGATTTCACTGAACCCATCTACTCATCTGTATTTTATCCAGGTGAAGCCCATCCTGCTCCCTGCTGAGGGGTGTGTACAGGCACTGCTTTCTCCTGCACGAAGGATGAGAGTTTAATCTTTGCTAGACTAGGGAGCTCTGTCCTGCCAGTGACAGGCTCCTACACAAGCTGTAAATGGTAGTTTAGCCAAGGAGCAGCATTTTAGCAGAGATAGTGGCACCCTTGCTGCATGTGTGCTCCTGCAAGCCTTGTGTGTAGAGCAGCATAACACAGCCTATGAAACAGGCCTTCATTCTTTCTAGATGATGCATGAGCACTAATGCAGCTGTGGTGACAGTGGCAAAGGCAACTGTGGGAGGCCATCCTGCAGCCTGAGCTACGTGTCGTGTGTTTTGGAGGCCCAGGTAAGTGGCAAATCCTCATTTCTGACACGTCATGGCCTCACACGCTTCTGTGTGAGTTGGCAGGTGCATTTGGAAGGTCTCTGGCTCCCAGAAGAGCATTCACAGAGACATAATGAAGCTCAAAACATTTTTGAGTACTCTACAGGCAAGTGTGCTGCCATGCATGCCGTTGGACTGGAGTCAGGAGGTGACCCAGGCTCAGCGTGGACAATACAATCAGGGCACGGGATAAAGACATGATGAGCATGCACAAGGTCCATTGGAAATGCTTGAGTAGTTTCTTTCATAAATGGTATAACATCTGTTGTCACTGGAGGCACAAGTTCCTGTCAAAAAGACACGTCACCCTTATAAATATTAATGGTGCATATAAATGGTGGTGGGTGTGAGCTGTGGATGCGAGGTTAATGGGTGAGCTGCTCTTTAGGCATCAGTTGGCTGCCATCAGACTTATTTCGGCACTAACAAAAACAAACTGTTTAGCTGGCAGAGCAAGCAAAAAGCTTTCTTCCCCCTCCTCCTCTCCCTGGGGTCCAGTCACAAATGAAATGTGTACTGTAATTAGTCTCTTGCCTTGTCACTGATGAAGATTAGTCCTGCTTGCAGAGCCGAGGAGCAGAAGAGCGGGGCTGGAGCTGGAAGAGCTGAGGCTGTAGGTGATAAATGGAGCAAATGAGGAAGGCTGTTGGGGGAAGGCTGCAGCATTCCCCATCAGCTTGATCCTAGCTGCCCCCAGTGCCATTGATTTCTCTGCTGTTAATAGCTGATGTTTAAGAGGAAAATAGGGTTGAATATCAGCACTGAGCTGCTCTTGGACTCCAGTCTGTTTGTTACTGCAAATTGTGTTTGCTGCCTTGAGCAGTGAGTTCCTGCTGCCCTTTTCAAAAACCATAAGGCTTTTGCTATCCTTATTTATTTATCAGCAGACTTGGCAGCAGTGCTAGTGTTCATCAGCTGGGGCACAGAGGAACAGTTCATGCCAGCCAAAACACTAATGAGTAGCATTCAAAAGGGTCTTATGTCCATTCACAGAAGAGCCCCAAGACTGTGTTTGTTCCTGTGAAAGCTGGGGGTCCCCTTTGCATGAGAAGATGGGCCCAGACTTCTGTCAAAGGTACTTTGACTTTCTGCCATTTCAGAGGTGGTGATTTCCAAATGGAAAAATGGTGAGGGGCTGTGCTGAGCAAGCAGAGAGGAGAGCAGAGCCTCTCCCCAGTGGTGAGGGATGGGTGGGTGCTGTGCACGGGAGGCACTGCCCCAGCAAAACCCCCTGTGCCACGTTTCTTACCTCGTCACCCTGTTGGGCTCCTACAAAAAGAAGCCTGAACTCAGAAAGCTTCAGCTCCTGCCATTTAGCTGTGGTCTGTCATGACAGGATCCTGTACCCCCGAGGTTACAGAGAGTGTCACCTGGGGCACATTACATTTGTGGAAGGTATTTCAGGGAGGTGAGAATAATTGTCTGAAGCAAGTACAGAGGGGTTTTTTCAGCTGGATTAAAAAAAACCCCAGAGTCTGCCTGTGTTGCTTCAGGGAGCAGTAACGTTGTGTTTCCAGGGAAGCCTCTTGCATTTGGTTTCTCTAATATTTTTGGTAATTGAAAGTTATCTTTATCATGGGGCTGTCTTCATCACAGGCTTTATGCTATGTTTGTAACAGGGCTGCATGTATCACAGTCCTCCTCTGCAAGATATTTATATTAGCTCCTAAATGCCTTACAGGCATCCTCATTAAAGTACATTTGCTTCAGAGAAGGCACTGAAGCCCTTAAACACAATCCTGATGAGGGCTGAGAGCTTTTAA